CTCTCTCTCTCTCTCTCTCTCTCTCCCTCCCTCTCCTGCAGGGCAGTATGGGTTTCTGTTCCCGGCTCCTGCTGCTCAGTGTGGCCCTTGGGGCCCTCTGTCCACGCCAGGGAGCTGCCACCCCCACCCCCGGTAAGGGACACTGACACAAACACTCCCAGCTAGTGACACACAGAGACGCTGCCACCGTTCCTGTGACAGTGATACTCTCAGACATTAATACAGAGCCTCCAACATGGAGGCGCCATCACTGATTCTGGAACACTGAGGCATTAACACTGATTCTGGAACACTGAGGCATTTAACACTGATTCTGGAACACTGGAGAACAAAGACATTAACACAGAGTTCCAAGCATGGAAGCACTGACACTGTATGTCAGTCTTTGTACCAGTAGTTTTGGTTACGATTAAAAGGTTAATATGAAGTGTTCAAAGTTTACAAATGTTATGAAACCACATTACCCACAATTAAGTGCAAAGGACTTAGCAGCTGACGGGTGATCCTTATTCAAACCTGCACACTGGTTATTCAGGGAAGGCAGTGCAATCTGGGAATTCTCACTGACAGGTCTTCACTCTCTCCTAGGTACCCCTGTCCTTACCACCCAGCCCCCCATCCCACCCACAACAGCTCCTCCCAACGACACCCAGACAACCACTCCCACCGCAGCGGTAACCCCGACAACAGCGCTCCCACCTGCCGTCGTCCCGACGACGCCTGCCGACAAAGCCGTCACAGGAGCCCCAGTGCCAACTACAGAAGGCCCCGCCCTTTCCCCCATGCTGACCGATAAGCCCGACCCCCCGGCAACCACCAAGCCGCCCCCCGTCGCCACGACGGCCACTGAGGGTGGGGAGGGAGGGGAGAACGTCACCACGCCCACCCCGCCACCTCCCGTACCCCCTGCTCCCTCGACTGAAGCCCCGCCCGAACCCGAGTTCACCACAATGCCCCCTGCTGACTACACATCGACAAGCAGCAGTACAACAGCAGGTGCGAAATTTGGGCTAGTTTGATTGTCGGTTGTGTGCTGTATGTGGCGTTCAGCTCAGACCACTGAATTTGCCCTGACTCCGAACACATTTCTGATTGGTTGGTTGATGACGTTGCCAGGGTAACGATCTGACTGGCATTGTGTGTGTTTTTTTTTTTTTCCAGGTGGGGGCGATGGATCAGGTAAGACACGGCCGGCTCTCTGTCTCTGTCATTCCTCTGCTTCTATTCACAGTGATACACCGAGCCCGTTTGTGGGGTCGGTGAGGCGTTTTGGCGGAATAATGGCCACCGAGTGCCCCCCTTACAGGCACACCGGCTCACACACCTCCTCTGTCCTCAGTCTCCTTCCTGTGTCCTCCTTTATTGCCCTCTATCCATCTCCTCCTCCGTCTTCCCGTCCATCTGTCTGTCCCCCTCCACCGTGCGTTCCGCTGTGTGACGTGACATGATACTCTGCTCTTACCAAGCGGCTGACACCCCACCCCCCCCCCCCGCTCCCGCTCCTCCGCTGCCACCTCCTTCCCCCGAGTGACGAGGCTCCAGAGGAACACTGTGTCCTTGTCTCTGAGCGCTGTCATCTCCAGTGCGCCGTTACCGCTGCCTCTGTTTCTCTCTGTGTCAGGCTCAATATACTCTTAGACTGACCGTCCCTTCCCCCCGTGTCTGTGCGTGAGAGTATGTGTGCGCGCGTGTGTGCTCTCAAACTGTTTCTGTGCTGTCTTTGTCCATAGGCCTCTTTCGGTGTGCTTAGCAAAGGTCTTGTCCCTCAAAGCCACACAGATACATGAAAAGTAAGAGGCAGTCAATTTTCAGAAAAGGTGTTCACCAAAGATTTCACATCAAGCAGATGTTTGGGTCTGTGTTTGTCATCATGTGAGGTGTTATCTGAAGTCAGGTGACTGTCCTCGGTTTCAGTAGCGATCTGGGTCATATTGTGTGGCCTGCTTTTGTTATTATCAAAGAAAACATTTGCAGTCAAACAGATGGACATCAGTGTGCTTTCACACTGTAGGAGGGCCTGGTTTCACATGATGAAGTACTTTGATCTTATGCCTTTTTCCACTGGAGAGCTGGAACCAGGCTAGCATGAGCTGGAGCCCAGTGATACTGAATGAAACCTGCCAGCCTGGTTCCAGCTGTGGAAAAAAGACATTATTGGCCACTCTATTCTTTAGACAGTTCTTGCTTTTTAGCACTCTTGTCAGTTGTCTTGGGTGGTGGGCCTGTCACACAAGTTAATGTTTTGTGTGCTAAACTGGAATGCACTGGATGTCTATCATTTTTTTTTTTTTTTTCCTCACACGTATCCAGGGTCTGAACCTTGCCTTTCTGTCACTCTTCTCTCTTTTGCTGTTGGTCTGTCCTTCCATGTTTCTTTCCCCCTTTCCCGATTCTCTCTCACTCTTGCTCTCTTTCTCTGTCTGTGTCTCTCTCTCTCCATCTCTTTCTCCTCCTCCCTCTTCCACTCTATTGCTCTGTCTTCGCACATCTCTGACCCCCCCCACCATGTCTGTGTTCCACAGATGACACTCCCATCATTGCGGTGATGGTGGCCCTGTCCTCCCTGCTGGTCATCGTCTTCATCATCATCGTGCTCTACATGCTGAGGTGAGTGGCCAGCTCTGTGACCCCCTTGCATTGACCGTCCCTCCACACCAGACTGACCCGAACTCACTGGTCCAGTGAGAGATGTCATTGGCTTACACGCTTTTGTGATGCACATAGCCTGCGACGAGCTAACACTTTGAAAGTGGGCATGACGCACTCAGGTGACGCACTAGTGCGCTCCAGAGCACTGACAGGAGTAACATGCTAATTTTCGTGCATGTTCACTGTTCTACATGTGACAGTAGTCTGCAAGCCAACACGTGTTCAGAAGTGGCTACCCTGAGTTATGTTTAGATGTACAGAGTATTCGGGATGATGGTCCTTACTCTGGTTATGGTGATATTCTGAATACTTCCAATACTCTTTACATACATCGTGAAATAGGACCTCGTAACATTCCTGTTTATATTCCTCATAATATTCTGCTAGTATTCCTGTATGCATGGTAATCACAGTATCCCGAATAAGCCCTCAAAAAGTGCCTGGAGAAGATTCTCGCTTTTGCGTTACCTTGTGGTGTTTTCAGCCAGCCAACATGTAAAATAGTACACCATCAAACCAATTCCGTATATCCAATACTGCACATAATTGCATGCACATAAATAGTTTATGTGTGATGAGCACAACGCACACATCAAGTTAATGCATTTGAGTGGACGAAGAGTTCAGAATTATTTTCATGCTGAAGCTGAATTTCATCTGTAAATGTCCAACAGTGTAAATGGAAATATGTCACTCTGGATAAGGCCACTTACGAACCATAAAAGCTGTCTAATTCATGGCTGATATTCTCTAATTAATCCGGTTCTTAAAGGACTGTCTAACCTATTTTGCTCAGAAACATCATATTCAGAACACTGAACACGGCTGAGAGGGTTTCTTCAAGGATAAGCAGCTTATGCGATCAGGTCACGTTCAGAAGTGTTCGGTATTCCGACCAATCAGGGAACTGCATGGTGCATGTAAAAGTGGCTACCGATAGGCTGAGATTTTGTGCTCTGAAGGAGGTCCATAATCAAGGCACATGTGGGCAAATTGACCCATTGCTATACTGATTAAGTGGATTTCTGATGCTGTCTGAAATCCACCCTTGATCCCGGTGTCTGTCTGAAACAGGTTTAAGAAGTATAAGCAGGCTGGCAGTCACTCCAACTCATTCAGACTGACCAATGGCAGAGCTGATGACACAGGTAATTGTGATGCTGTTTGTTTGTGTGTGTGTGTGTGTGTGTGTGTGTGTGTGTGTGTGTGTGTGTGTGTGTGTGTGTGTACGCACGTGTGTGTGTTCGTGCATGCAGTCGCCTGTGTGCATGTACATTAGTGCATGTATTTATACCTGTGTATCTGCGCGTGCGTCTTTGCATAGGTCTCCCTCGATTCCCAAGTATTTAGAGCTCTTGGTGTGATGTGACTTTTTGGTCAGTGTCATCAAAATCAACACTCTCATGCACTTGACATTTACATGTTTTCATTTATGTTAAACGTGAGTAATACTCATGTATTATTAGTCAGTAACCGGTGCTGAAATGCCCATGTGCTTTGTTGCCAATGTTTAATTGTATTATGTCTCCCTCTAGTGGCCACTTTAGAGAGCGCCTAGTTATAAATCTTTGAATAAAATCTTTGACCGACTAGAAGCTGGAAAGTGCATGGGTAATTCCTGTCCTTCCTGCTCCAGTGGCATTTTGTTAGGATTCCAGTGCTGTTTTTCTCTAATGCCCGTGTGTATGGTTTTGTCACCATTGTAATACGTTTCTCTGTTTCCCCCCCCCCCCACCCCCAACGTCGCCCTCTTCCGTCCTGGCCATCTGTTTTCTCTCAACTTTTCTCGGCTTATCTCCCTCCTCACTTCCCTCTCTCCTCCTTCACAGAGCTCCAGAGCGTGCCGCTATTGGCTCGCTCTCCCAGCACCAACAGGAAGTACCCGCCCATTCCTGTGGACAAGCTGGAGGAGGAGATGAACCGGCGCATGGCGGACGACAACAAGCTCTTCCGGGAGGAATTCAATGTGAGGCCTGCTCAGACAGCACAAACAACTCTGTGCACTGCTGTTACACAAACATTCCTACATAACCCTCCACTTACTAGGACAAATTCCCACAAGCATAGACAAGAACGTCAGAGTGTTATACCTGGCCACAGTAAGCTTATCAATAATTGATATGATATATAATTGATATCATATAATTTACTTAAGATAATAGTACTGTAGTGTAGTTGATTAGTGTTGTAGTGTGATGTATGGGTCAGCCAATATTACATTACATTGGCATTTAGCAGAAGCTCTTATCCAGAGTGACCTACATAGACTACAATTTTTACTTGTTATCCATTTATACAAGTGGGTATTTACTGAGGCAGCTGTGGGTTAGGCACCTTGCCCAAGGCTACAGCAGCAGTGATCCAGCAGGGAATCGAACTAGCAACCTCTTGGTTACGAGCCCAGCTCCTTATCACTATGGTACACTGCCTCCCATATCTGTCTGGTCATGCACTGCTGGGTTGTATTTTGTGTGTTTCTTCAACGTTGAGTCTGTCTCACTCTCTATTAAAGCCTGTCTGTAAAGGCTGTCTGTCTGTCTGTCTGTCCCAGGCTCTGCCGGTGTGTCCTATTCAGGCGTCATGTGACGCAGCATCAAAGGAGGAGAACAAGGAGAAGAACAGATACGTCAACATCCTTCCCTGTGAGTCCCCCTCTGTCCCTCTCTCTTTCTGTCCTTGTTCTCTGCCTCAGGCCCCCTGAGGCTCAGACTGTTACTGAAGTTCAAGGGAACCTATATATATAATTCAGGCATTCATGCTGCAGGAAGCGTGAATTGAATGCATTCTCAGTAGTTCACTGTTGTTTGCAGACCTGTGGTCACTGAACGCTTGCGGTGCATTTGAATGTGAGGTGTGCCCATTTTTGGTTTGATAAGCGCAGGTTGATCCCACAAGGACAGTGTGTAAATTGTGTCCTCCACTCCCCTCACTTTGCCCCCCTCTGTCCTCAGATGACCATTCGAGAGTGCACCTCTCTTCGCTGGACGGGGTCCCAGACTCCGACTTCATCAATGCCTCCTACATCAATGTGAGAGAGCGGGCGAGGGACCGTGGGAGGGGGCGGGGGGAAACCTGGGCTTTGGGGTTGGGGTGGGAGAAAGGGGGGGTCCAGAGAGACAAGGGTGGGCCCAAGGGGGTCAGGACTTCAGTGGAGCAAGGAAGTGGAGCTCAGCCACAGAGAAAGAATAACACATCACCTCTCTTGGGTTTTCAGGGCTACCAAGAGAAGAACAAGTTCATCGCAGCCCAGGGTAAGGAAATAACCATGACTACAGTGCACATGACTGCAGTTCTGTATGCGCTTGTGTGCTAAATAGAGCACAGAGAATATTCTATTTGACATGTTTATGTGTTCAACAGGTTATGTGTCACATGTTAAAAAATGTATCCAGTTTTGCCACTTATATGGAATGTATGCATATATCTTAATGCATTGTGCATCAGCATTTTTTATAGATGGATAGATTTTAGTAAATTGACAATTTTGCATTTGGTATGGTTATTTTGCTGTTTGAAATTATCCTGCTCTGGGTCATTGGGTATATATTGTAGTGTGATAGGCTATTGGCTGTCCTTGGGCTTAATTATTTAGAGTTTGTATTCTGTATGGAATTAATACTGTAAATTGCCCTGGATAAGGACATCTGCAGTTTAGCAAATAGCAAGAACAATTATCGTCACATGACTTTAACTCATTTAACAAGTTGTCATTGATTCTGACTCCACTGGCATGGGGAACACTGCCACCGCAGTGTGCTGTGAGAGTGAAGGCACCCGTAAGCAGCACGGCGATGCGATCGTCATGAATTATGAATGGGCAATATCGATGATGATGTCACCTTTCCCGTTCCCTCCCCGCCCCCCTCTCTCTCTCCACCAGGGCCGAAGGAGGAGACGGTGAACGACTTCTGGAGGATGATCTGGGAGCAGAACACCGCCACCATCGTCATGGTGACCAATCTGAAGGAGAGGAAGGAGGTGGGTGGAGGAGGGAGGGAGGGAAGGAGGGAAGGGATGGGAGAAGGCGAGAGGGACACGATTAGGTCTGTGGTAGTGAGGGAAGTTGCTTGTTTTTCAGTAATATTTACAGTTTGTGTTGTTTTTTCTTTGTGACTGCACTTATTGAATCATACTTCAGCTGTTCTTGTTGAGCATTTTCAGTCTGTTCTGTGTTGTATTGGAAAAATGCCACAAATGTTAATATAAGAACAAAGTTGTAGGTTTCATATTTCATGATTTAAGACATTTCTTCTGTCGTGAACAACAATTGTATTAATACTGTAGTAGTAAACTGACACTGTAACCTGATATTTTAACAGCAATGTCAAAATACTTGTTTTTGTTTTGCATTTAAATGGCAGCCAGTGCTTTCTTGTTCTAACACTTTTATTCGAATGCATTATTTGGAGACTGTTGCGGATGTTGCACATGAAAGATAAAAGCTTTTTATTCTGAGTGCTTTACTGCACTAGTGTTACCTTCTAAACTTGTGTTGTCAAGTTGTATTCTGTGTAATATAACAATAGAAAGAGGACGTTGAAATGAAGTGTGATTCACAGCTGTAGTAATAGGAATGCACTGTTCTCCTCACTCCCCAGTGTAAGTGTGCCCAGTACTGGCCAGACCAGGGCTGCTGGACTTACGGAAACATCCGGGTCTCCGTGGAGGATGTGACGGTGCTGGTGGACTACACCATCCGCAAGTTCTGCATCCAGCAGGTGGGGGCACTTCCGACCCAAGCACCCTTGGTGCCTCTCTGTCTCTGTCCTGTGTCCCCTGACACTAGTCTGCAATCAGTTACCCCATCCTTCCTCCCTTTCCTTTTCTCTCCCATTGTCTTGGCTTGCTGACCCAGGATCAGTGTTTTTTTTTTACCCCGCGCTGTTGCCAGAGGACCGTACGCTGACTGTGGGTGTGTCTTTCCCCCACCAGGTGGGCGACGTGTCGGGCAAGAAGCCCCAGCGCCTGGTGACGCAGTTCCACTTCACCAGCTGGCCCGATTTCGGGGTCCCCTTCACCCCCATCGGCATGCTCAAGTTCCTCAAGAAGGTGAAGGCCTGCAACCCGCAGTACGCCGGGCCCATCGTGGTCCACTGCAGGTGCGTGTCCACGCCACTCACGTTTCTGTTTGTGTGTGTGCGTGTGTGCGTGCGTGTTTGCATTCAGTGTGTATGCTAAACTGGGGCAGCAGTTTAGCATAGTTGGTAGGAGCAGGGCTCATAACTGAAATGTTGCTGTTGGACCCTTTGGCAAGGTACTTAACCCACAATTGCCTCAGTAAATATCTAGCTGTGTAAATGGATAGCATCTAGAAACTGTAAAATCTGTAAAGCATTGTGGATGAGAGAATCTGCTAAATGAGAGTAATGTAATGTGCGTGCGTGTGTGCGCGTCAGTCGTTTGGCCCCTTGTAAGTTTCAGGCTGTTGCTGACTCTCTCTCCCTCCCCCTCCCTCCCTCTCAGTGCTGGTGTGGGCCGCACAGGGACCTTCATAGTGATTGACGCCATGTTGGACATGATGAGTGCTGAGAGGAAGGTGGATGTCTTTGGCTTCGTCACACGAATCCGAGCTCAGCGCTGCCAGATGGTGCAGACCGATGTGAGTGCAGATGCTCTTCCAGATCCGAACACCTCCCATTCAGATCCAAATAATGCCAATCACATTCAGACGACTCCTGTCCAGGTCTAAACAGCATATGTCCAGGTCCATACCACTTGCATTCAGATACAAACTGGTCCTGTCTGAAACCATACAACTATCCAGATTCAAGCTCTTATCCAGTTGTCCGTCCAACCTTAAGTTGTAATACAAATCAATAAAATCAATATCATACTTCCACAGAAGTAGCTTTGCTAAGTATCAGCATGCTGCTATATTGCTGTCTCAGTCATATTCAGACTATAATTCCAAGCTGTTCCCTGAAATAAAAGTGTTTATAGGTGAATAATGGAATATCTTCCTTCCCTTTCACCCTTCCCCCACCCCACCCCCAATCTCTCTCTCCCCCCCAACCCACCCCCCCAATCTCTCTCTCCCCTCACAGATGCAGTATGTGTTCATCTTCCAAGCCATGCTGGAGCACTACCTGTACGGAGACACAGAGCTGGAGGTGACATCACTGGAGTCTCACCTGGCCAAGCTCTACTCCCCCTCTCCGGGGGCGGGGTGTGGGGGACTGGAGGCGGAGTTTAAGGTGAGGGCGGTGCCCGTGGCATCTGTGTCATATATTCAGTCTGTCCATCTCACCGCATCTTCTCTCTGAAAACTTGCTTCTGCTTGTTCTTTTTTTTGTTCTGTTCTTTTCTGTCCCACTCCACCCATATAAAATGCTCTCCAGGCCTAATGCAGTCCAATCACTTACAAAAAAAATGCCATGATAAAATATTGATTGAATATCAGCAAAACTGTAAAGTAACCTCATTGGGAAAATAACTACACAGTGGTCCAGTAGCAAATGGACCCTAGCTGTTGCCAGACATTGTGTTTCTACTGTAAAGGGAGTTAAACTGGCATCTTCTAGATGAATATGCATGAATATGTACATATGGTTTTGGTTTTGTGTGCAAACACAAAGGCATCTTTCCACTCCACCCCCAATTCCCTGCACCCAAAACAGATCCTCCTGGAAAAGTTGCAAATACAAAAATGAGTCGAGTTTTGGCTTCTTCCTTCCTAATCCGCATTGCTGCCCAGCGCAGTGGGAGACTGGATGTAGCATAGTCTAGTATAATTCAGCTGTAGGGAAGATCCTTCACTGTGTCCTCCTGCTCAGTGCACCTAAATCTGATCCCCATTTCGAATCTCCCGCCACAGAAGCTGACCTCCATCAAAATCCAGAATGACAAGATGAGGACGGGGAACCTGCCGGCCAACATGAAGAAGAACCGGGTTCTGCAGATCATCCCCTGTGAGTGGGGGCGGGGCTTATGGGGGAGGGGCTAGCAGGCACACAGGGGAGGGGCTGATGCAGAGCCTGTTGCTAACCGTCCTTCCCTTTTCCCCCTCCACAGATGAGTTTAACAGGGTGATCATCCCGGTCAAGAGGGGTGAAGAGAACACGGATTATGTGAACGCCTCCTTCATAGATGTAAGTAACGGAATATTGGAGCGAATTACATGAATTACATTACATTACCATCATTTAGCAGACACTCTTATCCAGAGCGACTTCCAGCACAAAAGAACAGAAGTGTATCCGTTCAAGTTGAATGAGCAACAGTGCCAGACCAGGCTAACAACACACCCAGACCAGTGAGTGTGAGAATAACACTATTCAAGCCCTGCTACAGGATAACTTGTGCTAACCTGAGTAGACAGCCTAGAAAGATTTGAACGCCATCACTCCGTCCTCAGGGGCCAGCGCTGAGCCCGTTTCTCCCCTCCTCCTCTCCCCTCTGCAGGGCTACAGGCAGAAGGACTCGTACATGG